GGAGCCAATGATCTGCATTGGATGGAGCACATGACGGGAAATAAAGATTTAAAAACATTAAACCGAAGCCAAGAGTAACGAGTAACGTTTGTTTTAAAAATGAGTAGAAGTCAGAAGTAGGAAGAAAAATAAGTAATGGAGTAAAGTATAGATACCTAAAAAGTGTACTTATGTACAGTAACAAAGTATTTGTACTTTGTTAATTGACACCTCTAAAGACCACCTCCTGAGAGCTGATTTTCCCAGGTTAACAAAGATAGTTCCTTAAACCCTCTCTCAAATCATCTCTCTTCCTTGGCTAGAATATCGAGGTTATTTTCCCTTAGACTGTCCTTTAGACCTCAGGTGTAGGTGAGCTTAGTCCTGTCCTGAGGAGTTGCCCCTCCTGTGTAGCGGTTGCTTGGTCTCTCCAATCTACAGGTCTGTGAACTCTTCACACTGAGCGGCATTAACCACCTTGTCCGCCTTGTTTCTGGGTGTCTTGTCTTTGGAGTGAACCAGTTTTTGTCCGGGGATATTGCCTGGTTTGAGATGCACAAGGATCTGGTGCTGTTTGAAAATCCTCCTGAGTTTTTCAGAGACTTCAGCAACATCTGGAATGATGATGTTCCTTCTGGTGACTTCTTCCTTCTCAGCAGACCGCCGTCTTCTAGGTTTCTTAGTTCTTAAGGGATGGTGTGCATGATAACCTTAACTGTAACTCACCGACTACGGCAGATAAAGACGGACCCAATGATGCTAATGGCTTCTATCCAGTTAGCAACAATATTTGTTGATTTCTTTAATAGTTCCTGGCAATTTATGAATAATGGTACTTTGAACAAAAGGACTGTCACTGTCTTAGTTCTGTTAAGTTTTCTTTGAGTTTTCAGTTTCACTTTGATCCATTTTTTCTTTGTTTTCTAGTTTTATTGGTTTAATTCCTATTTAATTCCATTTGTGTTTTCTGGATGTATCTGAGAATGGCGCTAGGCTAACCGCACCGTGACGTCACTGCTGGATGATGGCAGGTGGGAGGGGTTACTATATTTGGGCCAAAATGGCCGCTCCCAGACTCGCTGACCCTGATGAAATTTATTTTTATTTTTTTACTGCTTAACGCTAAATTCATTGAAAACTTATTAGTTTTAGGATCCATTCCATTCCTTGCTGAACGGACATTGCCTTTAATGACTGGGACTGGAAGCGCGATTAGCAGGAGCTAACGAATAGCAGACAGCAGGAGCATGGCGGCCATAGATACCCACTCTCTCTGTAGGGGTTGAACGTCGTCTTGCTGTAGGTGTGAGGAAAGTCTTCTGAGCCGTAGTTATAGCTCACGTCTGGACCTTCGGTTCTGATATCCGCTTTATAGTACCTGCGAGACAGAAAGGAAACATTTTTCTTTGGAAAAGTGTTCTGGGTGCTGATGGATGCAAACATTCCTCCCTCTCACGGTTCTGTTGAAGGTTAAAGGTCAGTCTATATCCCCTCCTGTACTGTGGGAGAGCTACAGGCATATTTAATGAAGCCAATCAGGTTAATTAAATCATCATAGAAGAAGTTGAGATAAAAAAGCTCCAGTAAGGTCTCACCTGTCCAGCGGTAAGAGGTATTCAGTCATTTCACATTCAGAGTGTGATATCTCCATGCAGTCGCGAGCTTCTATCCAGTTATTTGTCCTGAAGGGTGCAGAAGGAAACAGATCTTAACCGAAGCAAAAGCCTGTAAGCCGCGCCGAGTCAGTGTTTACAAGTCTCTGATGTTTCTGACCAAGTCGAGTTGGAAATTCTACAATTTAGCCTGTAATTTGAAATGGATCCTAGGCGGACGTTCAACTGAATAAACTGATTACTCGCCTTTATCCGCCTACGATGCAGCCAATCAGCTTTGAACCACACCTCCAAAAAAGCCAATCCAAAGTTCATCTTAAAAGGCCTCCGATCAGCAACATGTCTGCTCCTATGCGCAGGCGGTGGTTGCTCTATGTGACTTCATCTAGATAACCCCGTTTCAACCCCCCTCCAGCCCCTCCTCCACCATCGTAGCTAAAGCTTCATCAGAGCGTCATTCCTCCTGGACTCTTACTGCGTTCCGTGTCTCATCTTAAGCGGTCCGGCAGAAGGCCGCCATGTTCAGCCTGGTTCTGCCAGAGGTTTCTTCCCAATGGGGAGTTTTTCCTCTCCACTGTCGCCCCATGCTTGCTCATCATGGACAGGTTCTCTCTACCTGTGTTATCCAAACTGGACTTCCATCTTCCAGGTCCCTGAGTGAAGCTCTAGTATCAGTCCAGTCCACTGGATCTCCCCATAAAGCTCAGCAGACCGTCTCTCCAACCAGCAGTCTACAGACTGACCAACTCCATCTATCTCCACTCCACCACCAGTTTCAGGCCTGGGGGGGGGGGACAGCCCTGTTCTTTACTCTGTCCATGCATATCTATCAAAATTCAGCACTAATGTTTCCTGCCGAGGTCTGAGCGCCAAAGACAACTAACTGTATCAATAAATTTCTTCTATTGTCTTTTCTCTCCCTGTGAGTTTTTCAGCTTGAAATAAATATGGCATCTAATCACAGTACGAATTTTCATATTTTTAAAGGTTTTTTTTTTTTGGCCAGAACAGCCAGCAGGGATGCTGAGCTTCAGGACACCAGGAATCTCTTCCCCTGCTGTGATTTCTACCAGAAACAGAGAAACATTACAGCCACTGAATTTAGGTAAAATATAGGATTCACAATAAAACAATAAAAACTATGAATTTCATACTTAAACTAAATCATAAAACCTACTTTTACGGTCTTAGAGTAGAAAAATCAGGCATTTAGTATGAAGTGAATTTTCTACCAAAATGTTGCAAACCAAGAAGCATGTCGCAAACGAATAAATCAAATTCTTCACGAATAAAACTTGTAAACTTGTGTAAGAAACTCTCCTTAAAGGTCAAACACAAATATAGATTTAATTACTTAATTTGACAAAGGATAAAGTTATATTCCCACTGGGAATTTCCCATTGGGAACCTACTAGCACTAAGTTGCTAACTGGTTGCTTCCGACAAACCGGCCACAACCTAACATGCTAGCGAACTTTCCGCCGTAACAATCCCGCCCCCTTGATGATCGACCAATGAAATTCACTTTATTCGCTTGCGTAAAGTCGTGCACCACTTGGGAGAATTCGGAAATGCAACGATTGGAACGGCCGCTTCCCTACGACTTTAAATGGCAGAGCTCCGCCTGTCTTAGAAGGCAGTCCTGCATCCCACACTGACGATAACTGTTTTCTAATATCGGCTCCTTCAGGTCGCCAACGAAACGTAAAATAATAAAGCAAATAATTTCAAATATGGGGAATAATATGTTGACTCCAGAAGCGATCTGATTCTTAAGAAACAGGTGCAGTAGTTTTTTCTGAGTGGCGTTGCCGTATGATGACGTTTTAAGAAAGGGGGCGGGACCCGGAGCAGATCTGGTACCTACACCAACCGGCACCAGAACATCCAGCCTAAACCCACCCATGAACCACATCAAAACCAAGGAGTTTGGACTTGATTCTGGAGGTCCAGTGGGTTTTTCTGGCAGCTCCAACCCATAAATGAAGCGTCAGTTTTAGGCCAGAGCAGCGGCTTCCTGGTTCATCTGGAGCTTTGCTAGATGATAATCCAGCAGATTAGTTTTCATTCGTACTTTTAGGTCCTTCAGATGCTTCCAGTTCAGGTGGACTCATGAGTCACTGGAAGGTAAGGAGTCATCCATGTACCATCATCTAAGGTAGCATTGGGTTAGCATAGGCATCTCTACTCACCCCTCAGTGAACAGGACGGTGCATGTATACTCAGACTCTTCCATGTCCCACAACAGAACCGTTTTGAAGTCATTGGAGACCCATCGAACGTTCTGGGCTGTGGGAATAGAACCTCCACCTGGAAACAAAACAAACATCCATCTAAAGTAGAAGCTCAGTATTAAAAACGATCCAGTTTTTATTCAGCATTGCTTGATCTGTGAATCTGGATTCTTTCCTTCTTCAAATCAGGGATAGAGAAGCAGCAAGTTTCCTTTTGATGCTATTTTATGCTAAAATTGACTTAATGCTACGTTCAGACGGCACGCACCAGGAGCAGCTAAAACACGCTGCTTTATTTCTGA